GAGGGGAGAGGAGGGATTGATTTTGGGGTAGTTGGGGCTTACATGCTGCCATAGTTAGGGGGTGGGATATACAAGAAGGATATATGACCACCATAATAACATTGGGAAATGAGAGGACATCGAACTGTGCATATAAGAGATAGATGACAGTTGCTAATACCAACCAATGTGTCCACAATGCCACATTGCCCTTAACACCAAACACTAGGCTATACAGATAAACACATAAACACCTGAGATGATCAGATGGGGGTCAGAGAACAGAGGTATACTCTAGACCAAGGATAGATTCAGCTGAGGCTAATCTTGCACAGACACCAGTGATACAAAATACTTGCATTCCTTACAGAAACAATAGAAGACAGACACAGAGTAATCCCTCACAGACATCCTGATACTATGGGAGAGAGAGATCCAATAGATCTACTACCTCAGGACCATAGTACTAGGGGACATCAGACTCAATTGGCACAACAAAATATATGAAAGCATTGCTCCACATCCTACATTGGTGAGTAGCGGCGACTGGGGTCTTAAAAGCTTTCAAGCAGCCATCTAAGATGCAGCTAATGGTCTCCAAGCATTGGAAGTGAAGAAGAACACAAAACAAACAAACAAAAAAAAGGGCATTTAGAAGCAATCAGCCCTAGGACATGATGGCCCTCGAGACCAGAAGAACTAGATGATGCCCAGCTACCAATACCAGCCACTCAGGAAAGGATCAAATCTGGAGATCATGGATAGAGTGGGAAGGAAAACGTGGAACATAATCCAAAATCTCAATAATGACCAGAAATACTGGTCAGATGAAGTCTGGTGAGACTCCCAATGCTATGGCCCTGGAATACATTCTGCACCTGAAATAAAACTCACCCCCAGGGGTGGGCTCTCAGCCCAATAGTTAACAAGATGTACACGCAGATCACTCAACCCAGGATGCAGCACCCACATACTCTATGGTAATACATCTCTTAGAGTCACAGACCATGGGGCACCAGAGGACCAACATTCAAACTGAGGAAATGCAGGACAAACAGGAGCACATAAATAATTATGAGGGGCCCAGGGGGAGGGTTGCAGGGTCGGGAGGGGAGGAAACTGGGTTAGAGTTGGACATGGCGAGTGGGGAATGAAACTAAATGTATGCATTACATTGAATGTAAAACAAGCTCTTAAAATAAAAATAATAATAATAATAAAGCAAATGGAAGAAATGACAAGCTAGAAGAGCTGAACAGAAGATTTCAAAGAACAGCTCAAGAAGACAAACTCAATTATAATGAAATGTGCAAGGACCTGGAGTTAGAAAACCAATAGGGAAGACCACTCTCAGCGTTTCTCAAGCTGAAAGAACTGAGGAAAACAGGTAAGCCTCGAGTTGCAATATTGAAAGATTCTATGGGCAATATATTGAGTGATACAGGAAGCATCAAAAGAAGATGGAAGGAATACATAGAATCACTGTACTGAAAAGAATTGGTGGAGTTTCATCCATTTCAGGAGGTGGCACATGATCAAGAACCAATGGTCTTGAAGGAAAAAATCGAAGCTGCACTGAAGGAACTGGCAAAGAACAAGGCTCCAGGAATTGACGGAATACCCATTGAGGTGTTTCAACAAACGGATGACGTGCTGGAGGCACTCACTCAGCTATACCAAGAGATTTGGAAGACAACTACTTGGCCAACTGACTGGAAGAGATGCATATTTGTAACCATTCCAAAGAAAGGTGATCCCACAGAATGTGGAATTTATCAAACAATATCATTAATATCACATGCAAGTAAAATCTTACTGAAGATAATTCAAAAATGGTTGCAGCAGTATATTGACAGAGAACTTCCAGAAATGCAAGCTGGATTCAGAAGAGGATGTGGAATGAGGGATATCATAGTTGATGTCAGACGGATCTTGGCTGAAAGAAAAGAAAACTAGAAAGATGTTTACTTGTTTTTTTATTGACTATGCAAAAGCATTCAATTGTGAGGATCATAACAAATTATGGATAACATTGAGAAGAATGGGAATTTCAGAACACTTAATTATACTTATGAGGAGCCTGTACATAGGGCAGGAGGCTGTGGTTGAAACAGAACAAGGGGATACTGCATGGTTTAAAGTCAGGGAGGGCGTGCGTTAGGGTTATATCCTTTCACTATACTTATTCAATCTGTATGCTGAGCAAATAATACAAGAAGCTGGACTATATAAAGAAGAACATGGCATCAGGATTGGATGTAGGCTCATTAACAACCTGCAATATGCAGATGACACAACTTTGCTTGCTGAAAGTGAGGATGACTTGAAGCACTTACTGATGAAGATTACAGTCTACATTATGGCTTACACCTCAATACAAAGAAAACAAAACTCCTTGCAACTGGACCAATAAGCAGAATCACAATAAATGGAGAGAAGATTGAAGTTGTCAAAGACTTCATATTACTTGGTTCCACACGAATGGAAGAAACAGTGAAGACATCAGAAGATATATTGCACCAGGCAAATCTGCTGCAAAAGACCTCTTTCAAGTGCAGAAGAGCAAAGATGTCTCCTTGAAAGCTAAGGTGTGCCTAACCCAAGCCATGGTATTTTCAGTCACCTCACATGCATGTGAGAGCTGGACAATGCATAAAGAAGATCAAAGAAGAGTTGGTGCTTTTGAGTTGTGGTGTTTCTGAAGAATACTCAAAGTACCGTGGACTGCTAAAAGAACTAACAAATCTGTCCTGGAAGAAATGCAGCCAGAATGCTCCATGGAAGCAGGCCAGAGATCACCTACTTAGGTCATGTTGTCAGAAGGGATCAGTCTCTGGAAAAGGATATCATGCTTGGTAAAGTGGAGGGTCAGCGAAAAAGAAGACCCTCAACAAGGTGGATTGACACAGTGGCTGCAACAATGGGCTTGGGTATGGCAGGGATCATGAGGATGGCACAGGACCGGGCAGTGTTTCGTTCTGTTGTACATAAGATCTCTGTGAGTCAGAGATGACTTGACAGCACCTAACAACAACACAGTAGTTATATTTTAGTTTTTGAGGATCCATCACACTGTTTTTCACAATGGCTGTGCCATTTTGCATTCTCACCGGCAGTGGACAAGGATTCTGATTTCCCTTTATCCTCACCAACATTTGTCATTTTCCTTTTTTAAAAAAAAATCTTAGCCATCCTTTTATGAGTGAGGTGTTACTTCATTGTGGTTTTGATTTGCATCACTCTGATGGCTGTGTTAAGAAATTTATTAGGAAATTTTATTTCAAATTAAGCTTAAAGATAGCTAGAACTATTTAAAAATTAGAATATCTATCTATTTAAAAATAAAAAACAACTGCCCTCAAGTCGATTCCAACTCATGGTGACCCCATGAATAGAATTGTGCTCCACATGGTTTTCAATGAGTGATTTTTGGAGGTGGATCATCAAGCCATTCTGGGTTTCAGGGTCTCATTCAGGTGGAAGCCTGAATGATTTAAACAGAATATTGGCTCTTTCAGCCAAGGAAAATGCAGCTCACTGAGGAGTGGTATATTATTGCATCTGAACACAGAGAGCATCATGGCCACACAATTTTTTGTAGTGAAGGGTTAAGGAAAGTCCTTCTCCCTGGCATCAGTGCCCTCTTGGCATCTCATATTTGAGGAACAGGAAATATGAGGGAACTATCTAGATGCTGTTGCCCTCACAGAAATATTGTGAAATTTATCTTAGTTCATTTTGTCCTAAGCAGATAAGTCAAGCCATCACATCTCCTGTTCAATTTTGGAGTGTAATCAATTTTTAATAATTGATTGTAATTAATTCTGATAAATCGATAATTTGTTAAACTAAGATGAATAAATACAGTCGCCGTTTATTTTGATTTGTAAAATTCCTTTTTATATCATTTCATGAACAGGTAAGAAATAGATACATTGGTAGATTCAATGAAGTAGACATTTTACAGTAAAATTTTATCTTACCTGAAAGGGGCATCTATAGCAGTTTCTTACAAAGGTGCATAGACAGCAGTTCCTGGGTAAAAATGCCAATTCAATGTCATAAATAGCATATAAAACAAACAAACAAACAAAAATTGCTGTCAACTTCGACTCACGGCAGCCCCCTGTGTGTCAGAGTAGAACTGTGCTCTATAGGGTTTTCAACAGTGGATTTTTGTTAAGTGGATCACCAGGCCTTTCTTCCAAGGCACCTCTGGGTGTACTGGAACTTCCAACCTTTTGGTTAGCATGTTAACCATTTGCATAATAGCACATAAATAGCATAAAATACATTTCACTTATTTAATATTAAATTTCATACTTTGATCTTAAAACTGATTACATTTGTAGAATAGTATACTGAACTATTTCTGTAGCCCTCTTAAGAAGTGCAGATTTATACTTTGGGCTGTTACATCAAAATGCTCCTATATGGGGGATATCTTTCAAATTATTTTGTCAGTCCCTTTTGCTAGCTCTTGACACTATATTCTAAAACTCAGTATTTGAATTTCCATAAAATCATCTGTGGAAAAACAGAATATTCTAGTCTTTAGCTATCAGAGAAGGAAAAATTTTCTTAAAATCAGCTCAGTTCAATACTTAAACCTTAAAATATCATCAGTAACATGAAGTACATGGATGTTTTGTAGGATTTTTTTCATCTTTTAGGAAGAACTTTTATAGATTGCAAACGTTAATAATTTTGTTTCTTTCATAAATGTAGCAAATAAGGAACAAAAGCCAGATGCAAGGTTTTATGCTAGACAGTTCCATTCAGTATAATTTTACCTTTCAAATTATGGGGACATAAATGAATGTCCTACTTTTGTGTTAAAAGTACTTGACTACTTTGTGGGATGTTTTGTGCCAATTCTTTACTAAATTATCTTGCTCATCGTTGCTAGGTAACACCAATGGCTTCCCTGGAGCTGAAAAATAGAGGGTTATAGGGAACAATTCTCCATTATTAGCATTTGACTAATAAGGCTTTTGATAAACTATATCCTCCTTTTCTAGGGAATGTCATTGTCTATGGCAATACAATCGACACTTACACCACAGTGGAAACGCTCTTAAACCTTGGTGTGAGAGGCTCCAGCATCCACTTCGTGCAGCTCCCATCCACCTCCATCATCACCTGTATCAACAACTACTCAGTGAAAAGTGCAGTGGTAGATGCACTCAGAGAAGCTGGAGTTACTATCTACCAGGATGCACTCCTGGCACAGTGGAACGACGGCCAGTACCCCGACCCCATCAAATGTGCCAGTTTCACCACACCCACCAAGCCTTTCAGACTTCAATGCTCCGTGAGTAGCCCCTGTGCACTTCATTCTCTGAATGGGGAGTGAAGAAAGCAGTCACCTGCCAGGGGTTTCTGTGTCTGAAGGATTGTGGGGAGTGGACTTACAGTCACAGATTTTGAGTTTTGTTTTCTAACTGTTCAGTTTATCTATTGCTGAATAACAAATCACCCCAAATTTAATGACATAAAACAACAATAAATTATTATTATTATTATCTCTCCTAGTTCTGAGGTTTGACTGAGCTCAACCAGGCAGGTGTAGGAGTACTTGGGGCTGGATCTTCCATGCAGTTGCTGTCCGATAGTGGCTAAGGCTGGGGTCATCTGAAAGGCTGCTAACTCACATATCTGGTTGTTAATTCTGGCTCACCTCCAGTTGTGGTTTTAGCCAGAACATTTATACATGGCTCATCCATGAGATTGGGCTTCCTCAGAAGATGGCATCTGGGTTCTAAGAGCAAATGTCCTGAGAATGGGATCAGTGGATAGATACAGCAGCCGCCAGAACTATAACTTAGAATACATGTTCCCCTTAACGGTGTTACATAATGTAATTTCATTTTCAGTCTAGTTTCAAGCTCCTATGAAGCCCCAAATAGCCAAAGTCATGAATGTCTACACCAAAACAGTATTAAATAATACTGCAATACTAGTAATCTTGAAAACCCAGTAAAAAGAACTAGTACAATGAAATCTGTGAGAGAACACTTTCTATTCTATTAGTGGAAAATCTTTGAATTTTCCTTCTCTGGCAAGTTTCTTCCTTATACAGATTCTAGCTTTCACAGGCTTTACTATATACTTAACACACTACTTACTGACACATAGTGACCCTGAAGTACAGAGTAGAACTGCTCTATAAGGTTTCCAAGGTTCTAAATCTTTACAGAAGCAGACTGCCTCATCTGCCTCCTACAGAGCAGCTGGTGAGTTCAAACTACTGACGTTTTGGTTAGTAGCCGAATGCCTTAACCACTGAGCCACCAGAGCTCCTTTACTTAATGAAAAATAAGTTTAATTAAAAAAAAAAACACTGGTAGGTGGAAATGACCTTTGAGGGGATACTGAATGGAAATTCTGGAAATTTTCAAGGCTTCAAGAGGTTGATTGCATTGTTTTTTTTTTTTTTTTTTTGTAATTTAAACTCAAATCAAATGGCTTTCCATATTTTTAGATAGGTGTAGCAATTGTAAAGGAGCTCTGGTGGTGTAGTGCCTAAGGCATTTGACTGCTAACCAGAAGATGGTGATTCAAACCCACCAGCACTCTGCAGAAGGAAGACTGGGCAACCTACTTGTGTAAAGATTTACCTCCTCAGAAACTCAAAAGGGTCTCCATGAGTCGGAATCAACTCTTGGAATTGAATTGATGGCAGTGAATTTGGTGTTTTGGTTTAGAGCAATTGTATAACTTACGTGTTAAGTAAATTTTTGCTCGAATCAAGGATGAAAGATGAGAAGGGAGAGGAGAAGGAAAAATGGTAGGTAGGGAGACTGAAAGATTCAGGGTCAGAGAGAGACTCAGAGAAATATACTTTCCTGCAGTCATTGGATAAGAATTATAAGACAGAATTTTAAAGAGATTAGAAAAGAAGCTGTCTGTGGTAGAATTAAATAATTGAGTGAATTAAGGCATGGAAAGGGGAGACAACCACATTGACTCTCTGGGGGAGAAAAAGGGAGATCACAGAGATGATGAATCTGAATCCAGCACTCTTCAATTAACTTTCTGTGATTATAAAAATGTTCTTTATCTACCCTGTCTAATAGGCTAGATAAAGAACATTTTTAGACAGGGCAGATACGCCTAGCTACTTACGTCTATTGAGCATTTAATAAGGGCTACTATGATTGAAGAACTGAATTTTGAACTTTATTTAATTTTAATTAATTTAGATTTAAAATCATATTGTCACATTTCACTAGTGACTACCATACTGGGAAGTGTAAGATTAATGGGCTCCCTGCACCAGCCATGGGTGTGTTGGGGACATGGAAAAGCAGTGCCTCTGGCCCAGAACAGCTGATGGCTGTACAGAAGGGGGCAGTGAGGTATGTAAAGCAGCCATGTAAAAGAAATGTGGAGGTAGCCATCAGTATGTTTAGGACCCATATCATATATATATGTATATATATGTATGTATGTATTTGCATGCTTTTAATAAAATAGTCAATTATATTTAGGTAAAAATAATTGAACTTACATTAACTACTCCAGTAATAACTGAAGACTTAAACATAATTACTTGGACTATTTCAGTAACTTTCAGCATCAATATAGAAAAAGATGTCCAGAAGAGCATGAGAATGTATTGAAATTTGAGCAGAGAATGGAGGGGTGCATACAAACAACTTCTATGTTGCATGCAGAGGGATTTGTGGCATCTCTATAGCACTATGCCTTGCATGTGGCCAGTACTCTATAAATATTTATTGAATTAATGCCTGCCATACCATGGCTTGAGGCAATAAGTCAGGAGCTCAGACTCGGGGCTGATGGTACTCTTATCCTCTCTGTGGCATCCAGTAGGGATGGGCTTACTGGGCTCAACAGGTGAGGAATAGGATAATTTGAAGCCTCGTGATTGGATGAGGTGTCCTCAAGAAAGAAGAGAGACCTAAATGTTAGAGAAAGAGCATAATTGGAGGCAATTCAGTCCATTGGACATCAGGCCAATTCTAACTCACGTCAATCTCAGGTGGTTCCAACTACAACTGTTCTCCACAGGGTTTTTTTCAAAGGCTGATTTTTCTCAAGAAGATCATGAGGTCTTCCTTCCAAGGAGCCTCTGAGTAGACTTGACCCTCTGACCTTTCAGTTAACAGCCAAATACATTAACAGTTTGCATCAACCAGGACCACCACAAGTAAAAAATATTTACTCTTAGGATAAGTCTTCCATCACTTGCTGTCCTTCCCTTTACAGGATAACTTCCATTTATACTCTAAACTGAATGATAACAAAGTGTGACATCAGATTATCTTTAGTTTCTCTTGATACCAAAGACAGTCAAAATCAATGCTCATGATCATTAGCCATTAGAGAGATGCAAATCAAAAGAACAATGAGATACCATGTCACCCCAGCAATAATAGCAAACTTCAACGAGACAGAAAATAACAAATGCTGGTGAGATTGCAGAAAGATTGGAATTCTCATACACTGCCGGTCAGGGTCAGGGAGTCACTACTGTGGAGATGGATCTGACTCTTAGCGGCCCCTCATTGGGTTTCTGAGGGGGTGTCACTATGGAAGTAGATCACCCATACTTCCTTCCGAGGAGTGGGTGGTGGATTTGAGCCGCCAGCCTTCTGGTTAGCAGTCAAATGCCTTAGGCACTATAGTACCAGAGCTCCCACACTGCTGGTGGGACTGTAAAATGGTACAACCATCGTGGAAAATGATATGGATCTTTCCTTAGAAAACTGAAAATAGAAATATCATTTAATCCAGAAATTCTATTAGTAGGAATATATCTTAAAGAGGTGAGAGACAAGGACACAAACAGACATATGCACACTCATGTTCATCGCAACACAATTCACTATAGCAAAGAGATGGAAACAACCTAAATGCCCATCAACAGATGAGTAAATAACCAAACTACGGTACATTCACACATTAGAATACTATGCAACATAAAAGAATAATGAAGAATACATGAACCATCTCACAATGTGGATGAATTATACTGAGTGAAATAAGTCAATCACAGAAGTACAAATATTGTATGAACCCATTATTGTAAATAGTGATCTAGAAAGCAGTGGCAGGGATCCAGGTAAGGCCAGGGATCCAGGTCATGGCCCTCCCAAGTGGTGGGAAAGCCGGGGAAAGTAGAGAAAAGCTAGCGGGGGGAGGGGGGACCAGGACAGAGTGAGGAAGCAGAGGCAGGGATCCCAGCAAGGCTGAGGTCCCAGGTCATGCCCCTCCCAAGCTGTGGGAAAGAGGCAGGGATCTATGTAAGGGGAGGGTGGGGAGGGTGGAGAGGTTTTGAACAGCTAAGGGAGATAAACTTGTCTGTGAGTTTGTCCTACTGTGGTGGTGTGTTGCTGTGAGGCTTGAGGCTGTGCCACTGCTGTCTCAAATTCAATAGCATTGCACATGGTGCACAGGTTTTAACAGCTTACAGACTGAGACAGACAAGGAAGAAGGAGAAAGCCATCCATTTCTCAAATAATTGGCCAAGGAAAACCTTATGAATAGCAGAGAAACACTGTCTGATACATTACTGGACAACTTTATGAATAGCCTGGAAACACTGTCCGATACAGTGTAGGAGGATAAGCCACTTAGCTTGGAAGGCTCTCAAAATAGGACCAGGAAAGAGCTGCATCACCAGAGTAGAACAACCCTTAATGATATGGATAAGATAAAGCTTTTGAGATCTCCATTTGCTGATGTGGCACGACTCAAATTGAGGAGAAATAGCTGCAAACATCCATTAATAATCAGAACATGGAATGTATGAAGCATGAATCTAGGAAAATTGGAAGTTGGCAAAAATGAAATGGAGTGCATAAAGATTGATATCCTGGGCATTAGTGAGCTGAAATTGACCAGTTTGGGCCATTTTGAATCAGACCACCATGTGGTCTACTATGCCAGGAATGACAATTTCAAGAGGAATGGCTTGACATTCATCATTACAAAGGATGTTTCAAGATCTGTCCTGAAGTACAGTGCTGTCAGTGAAGGATAATATCCATATGCCTACACGGAAGAGCAGTTAATATGACTATTTTTCAAATTTATGCACCAACTGTTGTTGTTGTTGTTATGTGCCGTCGAGTCAAACCCGACTCATAACGACCCCTCCTTGGGTTTCCGAGCAGTATCACTACAGAAGTAGGATTGCCCAACCTTCCTTCCGAGGAGTGGCTGGTGGGTTTGAACCACCAGCCGTCTGGTTAGCAGGCAAGTATCTTAGCCACTATGCTACCAGAGCTCCCAACTACCAAAGCCAAAGATGAGGAAATTGAAGATTTTATCAGCTTCTGCAGTCTGAAATTGACCAAACATGCAATCAGGATGTGTTAATTATCACTGGTGACTGAAATGCAAAAGTTGGACACAAAGAAGAATCACCGGTAGTTGGAAAATTTGGCCTTGGTGAGAGAAATGATGCTTGAAATCCCATGATAGAATTTTGCAAGAGCAACGACTTATTCATTGCAAATACCTTTTTACAACAACACAAACAGCAGCTATATACGTGGACTTTGCCAGATGCAATACACAGGAATCAGATTGACTACATCTGTGGTAAGAGGTGACAGAAAGGTTCAATGTCTTCAGCCAAAATCAGGCCAGGAGCTGATTGTGGAACAGACTATCAACTGCTCATATGCAAGTCCAACTTGAAGATAAAGACAGGTAAAACAAGTCCACTAGAGCCAAAATATGATCTTGAATCTATCCTTCCTGAATTTAGAGATCATCTAAAGAATAGATTTGATGCAGTGAACACCAATGACTGAAAACCAGAAGAATCAGGGATGACATCAAGAACATCATCCATGAAGAAAGCAAGAGGTTAGTAAAAAGATGAGGAAAGAAGAAAAGACCAAAATGGATGTCAGAGAAGACTCTGAAACTTGTCCTTGAGCAGAGAGTAGCTAAAGCAAATGGAAGAAGTGACAAGATAAAAGAGCTGAACAGAAGATTTCAAAGAGCAGCTCGAGCAGACAAAGCCATTCACTATAATGAAATGTGCAAAGACCTGGAGTTAGAAAATCAAAAGGGAAGAACATTCCCAGCATTTCTCAAGCTGAAAGAACTGAGGAAAAAATTTAAGCCTTGAGTTGCAATATTGAAAGATTCTATGGACAAAATACTGAATGATGCAGGAAGCATCAAAAGAAGATTGAAGGAATACACAGAGTCACTGTACCAAAAAGAACTAGTCGATTTTCATCCATTTCAGGAGGTGGCATATGATCAAGAACCAATGATATTGAAGGAAGAAGTTGAAGCTGCACTGAAGGAATTAGTGAAGAACAAGGCTCCAGGAATTGATGGAATACCCATTGAGATGTTTCAACAGACAGATGCCCCACTGGAGACACTCACTCAGTTATGCCAAGAGATTTGGAAAACAGCTACCTGGCCAACTGACTGGAAGAGATCCATATTTGTACCCATTCCAAAGAAAGGTGATCCCACAGAATGTGGAAATTGTCAAACAATATCATTAATATTGCACGCAAGTAAGATCTTACTGAAGATAATTCAAAAATGGTTGCAGCAGTATATTGACAGAGAACTTCCAGAGGTGCAAGCTGGATTCAGAAGAGGATGTGGAACAAGGGATATCATAGCTGCTGTCAGATGTGTCTTGGCTGAAAGCAAAGAATACTGGAAAGATGTTTACTTGTGTTTTATTGACTATGCAAAGACATTTAATTGTGTAGATCATAACAAATTGTGGATGACATTGAGAAGAATGGGAATTCCACAACACTTGATTGTGCTCATGAGGAACCTGTATATTGACCAGGAGACTGTTGTTCGAACAGAAGAAAGGGACATTGCATGGTTTAAAATCAAGAAAGGAGTGCATCAGGGTTGTAGCCTTTCCCCATATTTGTTCAATCTGCATGCCGAGCAAATAATCTGAGAAGCTGGATTATATGAAGAAGAATGTGGCATCATGATTGGAGGAAGAATCATTAACAAGCTGTGATACGCTGATGACACAACTTTGCTTGCTGAAAGTGAAGATGACTTAGTGATGAAGATTGAAAAATACAGTCTGCAGTATGGATTACATCTCCATATAAAGAAAACAAAAATCCTCACAACTTGACCCACAAGCAGCATCACAATAAATGGAGAAAAGATTGATGTTGTCAAAGACTTCACATTGCTTGATTCTACAATCAATGCCAATGGAAGCATCAGTCAAGACATTAGATGATGTGTAGTACTGGACAAGTTGGCTGCAACAAACCTCTTTCAAGTGCTGAAGAGCAAGGATGTCTCCTTGAGGACTAAGATATGCCTGACACAAGCCATGATATTTTCAATTGCCTTGTTTACATGTGAGAACTGGACAATGAATAAGGAAGACCGAAGAATTGATGCTTTTGAGTTGTGGTGCTGGCAAAGAATGCTGAAAGTACCATGGACTGCTAAAAGAACTAACAGATCTGTCCTGGAGGAAGTGCAGCTGGAATGCTCCTTTGAAGCGAGAATGGCCAGATTTCATCTCATCTACTTTGGTCTTGTTGTCAGAAGAAGGGACCATTCCCTGGAGAAGAATGTCATGCTTGGTAAGGTAGAGGGTCGATGAAGAGGGGAAGGCCCTCAACGAGATGGATTGATGCAGTGGCTGCGGTGATGGGCTCAAGTATAGCAAGGATCGTGGAGCTGGTATGGGACTGGGCGGTGTTTCGTTCTGCTGTGCATAGGGTCACTATGAGTCAGACATGACTCAACAGCACCTAACAACAACATTATTGTAAAAAGTCAAGGAAAGGTTTACTTAGGGAAGGAAACTTACTTTGTAGTTTACCAGACATGGGAAGGAAAGGGGGGAAAATTTCAGGCTAGTTAGGGGTCACATGTTGATTTGAGTGAGGGAGGGACAGTATGGAAAGAGTTTGTGACCAGCATGATATGACATTGGGGAAAGGAAGGACACTGAAATTGGCACATAAGATATAGACAACAGAGGCAAATAATAGTATATGCAAAATACTACATTACCACTAACACCAAACACCAGGCTACAGATAAATGCATAGACAAGTGAGAAGATCAGGTGGGGGTTGGCAAAAAGGCATATACCCTAGACCAAGGATAGATTTAGCTGAAGATAATCTTACATATGCCCTCGTGCTACCAAATTAGCCACACACATTACAGAAGCAACAGAAGACAGAATTGAGTAACCTCTCACAGACAACCATACACTTTGAGAGAGAGAATCACTGGGCCTGCCGACTCAGGACCATAGTCTCAGGGGACACCAAACTGAACTGGTACAACATAAATCAAAAAACCAAACTCACTGCCATCGATATGAGTTTGACTCATAGCAACCCCTTTTGGGCTTCTGAGGTGGTATATCCTTATGGAAGTAGGTTGCCCAGTCTTCCTTCAGCAGAGTAGCTTGTGAGTTTGAATCACCAACCTTCTGGTTAGCTGTCAAATGCCTTATGCACTACACCATACATAAAAATCTTGTTCCATAACCTACTTTGGTGAGTAGTGACTGGGGTCTTAAAATCTTTTGGTCTCCTCTCATCTGAAGCAAAGAAGAGTGAAGAAAATCAAAGGCATCTAGAAGCAATTAGTCCAAGGATATGATGGACCCCAAGATCAGAAGAACTAAATGGTGCCCAGCTACCAATGCCAACTACTCAGAAAAGGATCAAACCTGGAGATCCTGGATAGAGTGGGAGGAAAAATGTGGAACAATATCCAAAAGCACAAAAATTACCAGAATCACTGGTTGGATAGAGTCTGGTGGAACCTCCAAGACTGTGGCCCCAGATTACCCTTTGGGTCTAGAATTGGAGTCCCATGGATTGGCTCTAAGCCCAACAGTAGAAAGACCTACATGTGGAACACCTGTCCCAAGGCTATGCACCACCTACTCTAGGGAGATACACCCTTAGAGCAATCGACTATGGGGCACCAGAGGGACAGAATTCACACAGAGGGAAAGCTGGACAGACAAGTGCCCATAGTTAAGAATGGCACAGGGAGGGTATAGTCACAGGGACATGAGGGGAAGAGAGTTTATTTTGGTTTGAAATGGTAATCAGGTCATGAAATCAAATGTACATGAACTCTTGAATGTAAAATAATTTTTGCTCTATAAATTTGCACCCAAAGCACAATAAATTCTTTTAAAAAACACAAACTTTCTTTCTCTGACACACACACACACACATTATGACAAGCTTTTAGATTTTTTTTGTGTGTTCCCCAAATAATAAAATATCCTAGAGACTGTCACACTCTTGGAAAAGTAAAACGAAGGGTGGTAACTGAGTAATGTGATTGTTCAATTTTTAGATGTTCTTCAGCTTCTGTGAAAAAAACGTGGATTATGAAACTTTTAAAGCATTCAATGATGCATGTCTTGTCTATGATGGCCGACTTGTGATTGATACCAACTTCCACACCAATGACATAGCCATCAGAGCTGCTGGGTCCCTCACCAAATTCTCCAATCGATACTATTCCAATGAGTGGACTCACAGCAACTTCAATTCCAAAGAAATTGGCTTTCAGCTTGCAGCAGCTATGCTTAGTCTCTTTGATCCAACCCTGGAGCCTATGACTGAGCCACCAGCTGATCTTGATCGACTCATTCCCATGTACAAGGGACCTAAGATCCAAGGTATGTGAATAGGCCACCCTCTTCCCCAAATGAAGCCTCTAGTTGGATCTGGATCAGCATTTAGACCAGCCCTTTCTGTTTCTCTTTAGATTTGGTGAGGCGACTCTTCAGGCTCTTAGCTGAAGGCAGAGGATGGTTTTATCTAATTTTAAGTGTTTATTATGGATCTGGCATTATTATTATTATGGTGCTTTGCACTTTAAGCACTTATTATGTCCCATGTCACAACCATGGTCCCCATTTTATAGATAAAGAAACTGAGACTAGGGGAGGAGAGACAGTATGCCCTGATATCTAACCCAAAGCTTCCATTTATACTCAATTCAGAAATAAAGAGATCATTTCTGACTAGCCCAAGTCTTATCCTGCTATCTGGGTGCATGAACTGAACCATTTACAGATGTAAAATAGTCCATTTTCATTCCCTTAGCCTGGTTGATCCCTATATAGATCATTTCATGAGTAACACAAGGTTTCTTCACTTTTGGGGGTGGTGAGAGACACCTTTAAAACTGGTGTCTTTGTATATTGTGGACTATGTATACCAGAAAAATGTACTTGCTTACCAAATTGTATATTCAATCCCATAAGGTTCATGAACCAACCATGAAAGCCATCCATAAACTTCCATGGTGTCCTTGGGTCCTAATAGAGTAAATGGAACGTCAGGCACAGAGACAAAAGCCCAGCCTTTCTTTTTTTCTACCCAACTAAATGGCCACACAGAGGTCCTCACCTATTTCTTACACTGGATGAAACATCAAGAAGGGTGGTGCCATGGGAAAGGAAGAGAAGGGATAGGTGTCAGAGAACAGAGGTAGATAAGGCTCATACTTCAGAGACAAGCTAACAAAATATTAAGAACTTGATAATGAGCTCTGGTGGCATAGTGTCTAAGGCATTTGACTCTTAACCAGAAGGATGGCAGTTCAAAGCCACCAGCCACCCCTTAGAAGGAAGGTTGGGCAATCCACTTCTGTAGTGATCCCACCTTGGAAATCCAGGGAGGGGTTGCTTGAGTCAGATCCAGCTCAACAGCAGTTAGTTTGGTTTTGTTTGACTGCTTTCCAAAAGTAAGAATGAAGAGCTTTCCTTATAAAGCTCATTTTTAAAATATTTTGGTTACATATTGAGGGGTTAATGAGGAATAAGAACACCATTGCAACATTTAACACTTCTAAAGATCTTAATCTGGCTTTGGAATGTATAGATTAGGGTGCCAGGAATTATGGGAAATCATAGGATACATTGGATCAGCTTGGAGTATGGGGTGTAGTGGGACATGCATATAAAATATTGATTGAAGTCTAACCATCCCAAGTAGTTCCTTTCTAATAGTAGTATTTTAGTGGTAAACTTTGAGGCACATATGCCATGTAACCATCTCCCTTTGTCTGTATTGTGGTGAAAATATAAGCTCTGTTACCTACTTCATTGAGAAGTACTTTAAACTATGGAAAACATTTGTTGTTTCCTCTAGGTGGCATTCTTCCTGGGTCTTACCATTATCTGCACATTGCCAAGCCTGCTATTCCAACTCCCTTGGAGGTACAGATGTCTCAGCCTGATTTTGTAAGTATTATTCTTTAATTTCATTTTACTTTTAAATATAGAACTTTGTTTATAGCAGGGCTTCAAACCAGTTTAGCCCAGTTCAGTCATGGCTGACAAAAGAACACCAAACGGACCCAAATTTTTAAAATGTGTTTGAAGTGAAACGTTAACTGGAATGGGAAAAATTATGGGTCAAAGTCCTGATAGAAACTGAATCTCCCTCTTAGAAAACAAGGTCAGCATGCACATGGCATAGCAACCAAATCTCTTGACCAACTGAGTCAAAAACAACAGTACCTAGTTCAAAGATGGCAGCCAACCTTACCACTTTGAATGTGTGATACTGTCCACAGTCTTGGCATTAATCCAATATCAGCCATCAGGTTCCAGAAAGTGCTCACTATGCCTCTCCCAAGTCTCTCATTCCAGAGCTTCAACCCATAATTTTCGCTGTTCCAGTTAGTGTTCTGGATCACCCAAATTTGAAAAATTGTAATTTGCTCTAGTTTCACTTCATTGGCCATGATGAACCAGTTTGACCTTGTTCGAAGCCCTGATTTACAGGAAGGTGAGGTGTTTTTATTCAAAGTCTTTAGTATAAAGTGTTCCTTCATATCAGGAATCCACTGTGGTAGCCAGCCAAGATGACCTCTAATGGTTCTCACCCCCTGGGATTCATTTGTGTGGTCCCTCTCCCACTGAATAGGGCAGACCTGTGTAGCCAATAAGATATTACAGAAACAACAGTGTGACTTCCAAGGCTAGATCATAAAAGATACTACAATTCCCAAATTTCTCCCTCTTGGATCTTGCTGCTGTGGTCCCAGATCACTCAAGCAGCAGTTAGCAAAAACCCATATGGTGAAGAATTGAGACTTCCTGGAAACAGCCATTATCAATTTGCCAGTCATGTGTGTGAGCCACTTTGGAAGTAGATTTAGCCCAAGTCAAGCCTTCAGATTCTAACATCTTGACTGCAAATTTATGAGAGACCTTGAGCCAGAACTCTGCATCTAAGCTAATCCCAATTTCTGACCCTCAGAGACTGTTAGGTTATAAAAGTTTGTTATTATTTTAAACCACTAAGGTTTGAGGTAATTTGTGACACATCAGTAGAGAACTAGAATAACCACTTTGGGGACAATGTAATAGGTAAACTGCTTAGGGGCTGAAATGGCTGTTCAGGCCCTACTATTTTCCTGCTGACCCTGAATGACACCAAAAGGGCCATTCAAGAAAACCAGACACTATGGGGATGGGACTTTACCTGGGTTAATGGCAACCAGAAAGGATGCAATAGCTCGTCCAGTTGGAGAGTTGCTCAAGTAAGATTCTCTGAGAGATAGTCCCAAACTGGTGTTTGCTCTCAAGTAGGACTTTCCTTTCTGATGGGTTATGTTTGCTTTTTCATCAGTGACTCCTGTATATTTTTGAGGGTCAATGATGTGATAAAGACATTTCCTAGATCTCCTTGAAGATAGTGTTGTTTATGTAGCAGAATCTGGCCAATGAGATATAAATAGTTGTTGGATGAAGTTCCAGGGAAATTCCTTAAAAGAGAGCAGACTCAAAATCACACAAGCTATTGACCCCTCTCTCCTCTCCCTCAGAAAATCTGAATCTCAGCTCTTCCATTTAGTTCCCATGTGACCTTCAACAAGTTGTCTAACTTCTCTGAACTTCTTGGATTATTAAGGATTTGCCAAAGAGGCAAGGAGGCTGCATCTTCTGATCTCCTCTAACCCCACAAGACAGTATCACCATCAACAGTCCAAGGCCTATTCCTGAGAGGGAAGACATGTTGCCTCCCTCCAGCCCTTTCATCAACCCTAACACCAAGTGTTCCTCCCGCAGCACCCACCACCTTTCTGCTGGCTTCGATAATTTGCTGCAGTCACCACACAGAACTCACAGATTATGGGGTTTATTAGGGAAGCACCAAGCTACAATTTAAGTTCAGGGACAATGTTCAGTCTCTCTTAGCCTGCTGTCTCTCAGCCAACAGTCTCTTTCAGTCTTTCTCCTAGCCATGTGTGTCTCTCCCTCAGCAATGCATGTCTCTCAGCAGAGCATGTCTCTGAGGAGTGTGTTTTTCTCAGCAGTATGTCTTTCATCAGAAGATGTATTGCACTGGGCAAATCTGCTGCAAAAGACCTCTTTCAAGTGCTGAAGAGCAAAGACGTCTCCTTGAAGACTAAGGTGCATAACTAAAGTCATGGTATTTTCAATCCCCTCATATGCATGTGAGAGCTGGACAATGAATAAGGAAGACCAAAGAAGAGTTGATGCTTTTGAGTTGTGGTGTTGGCAAAGAATTCTGAAAGTACCATGGGCTGCTAAAAAATCCAAGAAATCTGTCCTGGAAGAAGTACAGCCGAATGCTCCTTGGAAGTGAGAATGGCCAGACTTCGTCTCACCTACTTTGGTCATGTTGTCAGAAGGGACCATTCTCTGGAGAAGGATATCATGCTTTGTAAAGTAGAAGGTCAACAAAAAGGGGAAAGGCCCTCAACAAGGTGGATTGACATAGTGGCTGCAATGATGGACTAGGTATAGCATGGACTATGAGGCTGGCACAGGATCAGGCAGTGTTTTGTTCTGTTCTCCATAAGGTTGCTATGAGTTGGAGACAACTTGATGGCACCTAACAACAACAACAACATACTGCTCCGTTTTTTAATTATCTTCAGCAAAATTTTACTTGGGTGTGATATTAATGATATTGCTCAGTAATTTCCACATTCTGTTGGATCACCTTTCTTTGGAATGGACACAGATATGGATCTCTTCTAATCAGTTGGCCAATTAGCTGTCTTCCAAATTTCTTGGCGTAAATGAGTGTGCACCTCCAGTGCTGCATCTATTTGTTGAAAAATCCCATTGATATTCCATCAATACCTAGAGCCTTGCATTTTGCCCATAGAGTCCTTTAATATTGCAAGTCAAGGCTTGGATTTTTTTCTTCAGTTCTTTCAGCTTGAGAAATGCTGAGTGTGTTCTTCCCTTTTGGTTTTCTAACTCCAGTTCTTTGCACATTTCATTATACTACTTTGTCTTCTTGAGCTGCCCTTTGAAATCCTCTGTTCAACTCTTTTATTTCATCACTTCTTCCATTCACTTTAGCTACTCTCCATTCAAGAGCAGGTTTCAGAGTCTCTACTGACACTCATTTTGGTCTTGTCTTCCTTTCCTGTCTTTTTAATGACCATTGACTTTCTTAATGGATGATGTTCATGATGTCATCCAACAACTTGTCTGGTCATTGGTGTTCAGTGGGTCAAATCTGTTCTTTAGTCTCTAAATTCAGGTTGTATGTAAGGTCATATTTTGGCTCTCATGGATTTATTTTAATTTCCTTCAGCTTCAACTTGAACTTTCACATGAGCAGTTGATGGTCTGTTCCACAGTCACCTCTTGACTTTGTTTGGCTGGAGATATTGAGGTTCTCCATCATCTCTTTCCACAGATATAGTTGATCTAATTCCTGTACATTCCAATTTGCAAGGTCCACATGTACAGCCACTGTTTATGTTGTTGAAAAATGGTATTTGCAATGAATAAGTATGGATTATACTTCAACATAAAGCAAACTAAAACCCTCACAACTGGACCAATAAGCAACATCACATCATGGAGAAAAGATTGAAGTTGTCAAAGATTTCATTTTATTTGGAGTCACAATCAACATCCATGGAAGCAGCAGTCAAGAAATCTGATGTCATATTGCACTGGGCAAATCTGCTGCAAATGACCTGTTTAAAGTGTTAAGAAGCAAAGATGTCACTTTGAAGACTAAGGTGTGCCTAACCCAAGCCATAGTATTTTCAATTGCCTCATATGCATGTGAAACCTGGACAATGTATAAGGAATACTGAAGAATAGTTGATGCCCTTATTATGTGTTGTTGAAGAATACTGAAATGCCATGGACTCTGAGAAGAATGAACAAATCTGTTCTGAAAGGAGTGCTGCCAGAATGCTCCTTGGAAATGAGAATGCAAGTGAGACTTTGTCTCACCTACTTTGGTCATATAGTCAGAAGGGACTATTCCCTGGAGAAGGATATCATGCTTGGTAAAACAGGATCAGCAAAAAAGGGGAAGACTTCAACAAGATGGATTAACACAGTGGCTACACCAATGGACACAAGCATAGCAAGGATTGTGAGGATGGTGCAGGACCAGGCCGTGTTTTGTTCTGCTGTACATAGGGTCACTTTGAATTGGAGCTGACTCGATGACACCTAACAACAGCAACCAATGAAGTAGTTAATTAAATGTTCTGCCTTGGCAACCTCTAAAGTCAAACAGAATGAAGCTCTGATGATATGATTAGAGGTAGAACATTTTAATCATCACAGATAAATAATCTGAGCCTAATATGGAATAGAAGGAGCTCTAGTGGGGTAGTGGTTAAGACATTTCATTGCTAACCAAAAGACTGGCAGTTTGAACCGCTCAACTGCTCCACAGAAGAGTGATAAGGCAGTCTACTCCCATAAAGAAACCCATTGGGGATTTCTATGAATCAGAATCAACTTGATGGCAGTGAGTTTTGTTTTTTTTTTAACTATGGAGAAGAGCTAAACAATATTGAGCTTGATGTCAAGCAGAATTAAATTCAAGGACACTGTATGATCTCATGCTCGCAGTGTCATTTTATTTATGAACCACTGGGTCTTTCTGAGAATAACGTCAGAGGTAGAGCCAAAAGATGTGTTTAGACAGTGAGAGTTTTAATAAAAATGCAACTTAAATAGATTCTTTGCTGATACTATAACAGTATTTGAATAGGACCACAGATTTTAATTAACCATTTTGCCAAGTGGGCATCCATTTTAATTATACAAAAGATTGAAACAGATTTTTTAACATTTTGAAATGTTAAAAAAAAAAAAAAAGGGAAATGTAAGAAAAAAAAAAGTAGGATTGTTCCATGGCCATCTTTGGGGTTGGAATTAATTTGATTATGTAAAATTATTGCCAAAATAGTCAAGCAGTCACCTAAATATAGCCAGTTGATCAAGAATAAAGGCTATTGAATGCTATTCCACTAGAAAAACTATATTACTCTTCCTACTATAAATGTAATACAGATGAATGTTTAAGTAAGAAGATACTTTAGTAATTCATGATCTCTTTGAGAGGTACCTGACAAAAGGAAGAAAGGGGATCCCAAATAGTCTACACAATAAACTAATTTACAGATTCCAGTCCACATGCTTTGTTGGCTTATACACCATGAAATAAAGAAATTTGTCACAACAAATTCTGCCTTGGATACTATTAAATTTAAAATTGCATGTTCATGTGAGGACTACGAACTTGATTTCTTGAATACAAAATCTGATTAATCCTGTGGCTTCCACTTGGCATGAATTCAGGAGCCATTTTCCAACCTTTGTTAAAATCATAAAGGAATTCATAGGATAGTTGAATTCAAGAAAAACAAAATAAAAACCCAGAACCAGTTGTTCTATCAAAATCTGGAATTCAAGATCCAAATTCCCCAATAATTTCTTTATATGCTTTAAAATAAAGGAAGACATTATACATGCCCATAGAATTAGAACATGTGGGAAATAGTCATCATTACCCCAGAATCCCTTATGGGGTGGCAGGACCCAAAGGTGCCTGAAGTCATCATTTAGTAGAATGTTTTTCTGTGAGGATTGGCAGAAAACATTCTGGCCCACATTTATTAGCAACTAGATTTTCCTGATCTGTCAGTGACTCTGAATAGGAATGACCTAGGGACTAGATAAGGAGCTCTGTGGAAGAAAAATGAGGCAGGCTGCTTCCATAAAGATTTACAGTCTTGGAAACCCAATGGGCGTCACTCACTATGAGTCAGAATCAACTCCATGGCAGTGAGGGACTTTAAATAGGCTTGTTCCCACCCTGTAAAGGTAATTAGCATCTGAGAAAAACCTCTGTATATGAATTGCCTTTAATGACAATGGAAAACATTTTGATGCATTTAGAGTTCCCACATTAGCTTAATGCCATATCTCATTAAAATGGACACAGCTACTTCCATGGTTAAGATTAGCTATCATAACACAACTTACTACACCATTATCTCACCATGACTGTCTCTCTAGTGTGGCAGTGTTCTGCACTCATTAAGCCCCCATGGTTATAATGCTTATATGCACAGGAGTATGCTGACAGCACAATCAAGGACACCCAATAATTGTTACTGGACCTTTAAATAAAAAAAAAATAAGCATACCAAAAGTCCAGATCCATGGCAACAACAAAAAAAAAAATCACTGAAAATAGTACAGATGAGTAACTGGACTCTTGATGTCAATTAGGGAGCTCTGGTGGTATAGTGGATAAGGCATTTGGCTGTGAACTAGAAGGTCGTCAGTTCAAACCCACCAGCTGCTCCACAGAAGGAAAATAAGGCAGTCTTCTTCTGTAAAGATTTACAGCCTTGGAAACCCAATGGGGGTTTCTATGAGGCAGAATCAACTTGATGGCAGTGAGTTTGGTTTGAGGTTAATTATCCCCACCCCAGGTGGTGGTATTCATTATTCAACCTCAGAAGTCATAAACTGAGGAAACACACCTGACTGGAAAATAAAATAAAATAAAATAATGGGGGATTAAGAAATAGTTGGGGAGCTCTGGTAGCGTAGTGGCTAAGACACTTGACTGCTAACCAGAAGGCTGGCGGTTCAAACCCACCAGCCACTCCCCGGAAGGAAGGTTGGGCATTCCTACTTCCGTAGTGATACTGCCTCCGAAACCCAAGGAAGGGTCGCTATGAGTCGGGGCAGACTCGATGGCAAATAACAACACAACAACAACGAGAAATAGTTGTGATGATCAGATAAGGAGAGTAGACACCCTGCAGTGGCTCAAGCCTGGCTTTCTTCTTCTGCCAATAAGCCCACCCTTTTGCATGAGATTCCTCCTCAGGATTTGACTTCCTTTTTTTCTCCCTTCTTCCTTCCCTCCTTATCTCCCTCCCCTTCCTTCCTTCCTCTCCCTTCCTTTATCTGGTTTCTGTTTCATTTCTCTCTCTCAGTTTGCTCATCAACAGTTGGGTGTTTGGCACAGTACAGCCAGCATTTTTTTTTTTTCTCATTTCAGAAGTGATAGATATCCATGCTAAAAATTAGAAACTACAGATAGTTAGATGAACAAAAAGGTAAACAATGAAAATGACCCAGTTTCCCATCCACAGAGTATGGCCATGAACATCTTACTAAAATGTTGATACCAAAAAAATAGAATGGTACTATATAGAAACTACTTTTATCATATTAAGTTTATTGTTAACATATTTCTCAGTTATGAAATATATTTTACCAATAATTATTATTAGATACACTTCCTTCTGTTATGTGGCCATACCATTTTTTTGTTAGATAATGCCTTACTATATGTTTGGTTTTTTACCCACTTTACTTTGAGGTAGATTTCCTCTCTGTATCCATCTGACTTTATGAATGATGGACCCTTGAGGCATTATCCCAGAATGCTCAGTACCTTTCCTAACCTAGATTTGTCATCTCCCCCAAAAATATCCATTTTCTTATCCATACTTGGAATTGACCCAAGATTTACCTGACTGCATTCTGTGTATCTCACCTTGTGCCTTTACAGTGGGATGACTCCTCCTCGGGGGTCTTTAGGCATGTGATACCCAGACACTCACCAGTTACCTCAATTTATTTAAAAACTCAGCTAAACTACATGCCCTTGCTTAGGAAGAAATCTCAAGGTGAATTGTGTGACTTAGTAAATATTTGGGATTAGTATAGTCAACTTACCCTGGGTTTCTAAATGCCACATTCACATTCAGGCAGAGTAAATGCTTAAATGTATCGGCATTCAAGAAAGGTTCAATGAGTATTACCATGTACTCACTTCAAGGTGAAAGAGTTTAAAGCAAAGGTTAAAAAAACAGCAACAACACCATGCTTATCCACTGAGGGTTCTCAGTTTGATTGCCTGAGTCAGCAAGGAGTATGTCTCTGCTTGGTGGTGGCCTGCAGGGGCTGGAACTGAAAAAGGATGGTGATAAGGATCATGGCAGTGTCTTTCCTTATCATCTGGATTCACATGGCACTTTTAGCCAGTATTCCTAAGGACCATAAACTCAGGAGTCTATACCCTTGACAATTTACACCTCAAAATTCGCCTGCAGAAAATGTATGTGCATTGCCCGTAGACTTGAATCTTCTGCCTGGGAATAGACTTCGGCACGTAACCAAACTGCCCCAAACCCAGCAACTGGGGATTCACTTTAACAGTAATTGTTTCTCTTACTTAAGTAATCTTTGAAACAACTGAAATTATTCCTGATCACTTTTGACTAGGAAGTTTTTCTCAAAAAGGTGGTGTGACAAACTAAGAAAATTAACAATCTTTAAACACCTCACTGAAGAGAATACATCCAGGTTATGTATTACCTGTGTGAGGTATTGAGTCATAGAGAATGTGTCTGGATGTAAGCATAGAACAACATAATCACAGTTTGAAATATTCTGAGGAATATTCAGTCATTAAGTCCAAGTATGTGGTTTCTGATACACTCTTACTTTCTATTGAGTTTAATCAGTACCCATTACTGTTATGTTCAGTATAACCTATCTGTTAGATTTGAAAAATAAATTGCTATGATAAAGTTCTCAAAGCCCAGAAATGTTTCTGACATTGTTTCTCTAATTCCCACTCCTTTTACCCACCAGGGCTTAGAAATTGTTACAGGTAATGCAAAAAATGGGAATTACTTCAGAGTTCATATTAACAAGTACAAGATGGTAGAAACCATCACCTGCCTTTCTAAGGAACCTTTCCCTGCCTCCAACTACATCCGCCTGTTTGGCCAACATGAGCAAGTCCTCAATAACTTGTGTGTTCGATACGAGGATGAACTGATCACAGATCTCTATAGGTAAGTTGTATGGTACATTTTACAAAGAGGAGATGTAAATATATGTTGTCTTATGAATGAAGAACATGTTTTGTTGTCCCCCTAAACAGGAATCCATGGGGAGAAGCTAGAGTGGCAATGATTTCATTCTAATATAAGAAAGTATATCTGACCACTACCATGGGCCCAGAGTGAAGGGTCATGTGGGGAGTGTGCGTGTACTCTGGGAATAAGCACATGTGACCACACATTGGCCTGGATGAGATGAATATTCAAGTCCCTTTAGAGACAGCGCTGCTAAGAGCAATAGTCATCAATGTAAGAGGTATATTTTAGAGCAGGATATGGAAGAATCTGATCTTGCTGGAAACTCCACAATGACAAGACAGGCTGTTGTGATCCCAGCAAAGGAAAAAGAGGGGTGACTATTTGTCTAAGATATTGTTGAGGGAATTCCTACACTGAGGGATTGATTAGGTTGAATGATATAAATCCACAAAAGCAAGGGGAATTTCCCACAATCCACAAAACAAGATGATGGCAGAGACAGTACCAGATATAGACTGTAGGAAGTAAATTATAGAATTTCAGTATTGTTGATACCCATAGGGGTGGCTTCCAGGGTCAGAACGAATCTTTCTTCCTTGACTCTAAGAAAAAATTTAAATTATAGAATATATCATATAAACTAAAATGTATATGTGTGTATATTCTGAAGGATACTCATGGAAATCTACATGCCCCAAACCTACCTTAAATAAATTCTTATCCCAGGACCTGAAGTTTGGGTTAACCATTTCATTTCTTTTCTTTCCAGTAAAGTAAAGATCAGCATATCTTTTCTATAAAGAGCCTCATGGTGAATGTTTTCAGTTTTGTGGGCTGTATGGTCTTTGTCACAACTACTGAACTTTGCCAATGTAGCACTAAAGCACCATAGACAATATGTAAACAAATAGATATGACTGTGTCCCATAAAACTTTATTTACCAACATAGCAGGCCAGATTTAGTCCACAGCCTGTAATTTGCCAGTCCAATTTTAAAGTTTTACCACTTACACATGATTTTCTAAATAATATATTAATTAGTTTTCCTATTTATGACTAACCAGAAGGCTGGTTGTTCAAACCCACCAGCCACTCCTTGGAAGGAAGGTTGGGCAATCTCAGGTGATACCACCTGAGAAACCCAAGGAGGGGTTGCTATGAGTCGGGTCCAACTCAATGGTACATAACAACAGCAACATTTATGAGTGGATACTGTGACTTACAGAAATAGTCAGCATTTGTTTAGCATTATGTTTGTGAAAACTCCCATGTTGATGTATGTAGCTACAGTTCATTTGCTTGCCCTGCTGCATAGTATTCCGTTATAAGACTATGCCACAATTCATTCATCTATTTCCCTATTGTTTCCTGTTTGGGGACCATTACAGACAATATTGTGAACATTCAAAATATACTCATGTGCAAGGATTTCTATAGGACATACCTCACACTGGAACTGCTGTCACAGGGCTTGCCCATCTTCAGCTTTACTACGTGGTACCAAAATATTTCCCAATATAGCTGCATCTATTTAAACTCCCTCTGTCTGTGAAGGAGATCTCCTTTTGTTCAACAGCCTTGTCAAAACTTGCTACTGTTAGATTTTTTAAATCTGGCTAGTTCTATAGGTGTGAAAAGGTATCTTCTTGATGTTTAATTTGCCCTTTCCTGATTAATAATTCAATTGAGTGCCTTTTCATTCACTCCTGGGTCATTTGTATTAGTTTTCTGTGAAATACCTATTTATGATATTTGTCCATTTTTCTTTTGGCTGTCTTTTTCTTATTAATTCACAGTAGTTATTTGTAGACTCAGAATACTAAACCTGTCTTGGTTACATATTTTTAATATATCTTCTCCCACCTTGTAGCTTATTTTTTCACTTTCTTTATGGTGTCAATCAACAAACGTTCTTAATTTTAATGTAATTTGTTCATCCTCTTCAAGAGTGTCTTGAGCATTTTGATACATTTGTTCTTCCAGTAAGATTATTTTATTTTATTTTGATTTGAGTGAAGATTTACAGAGCAAATTCACTTTCC